ACTTTCTGGAAACCCTGCAGAGACGGACAGCAGCGCTTGCCCAGCTGCGCCCCCTGGTGGTGGGTTCAGGGCAGCACCCTCACAACCTCTCTTTCCGTCTGGAAGTCACCATCTGAAATCTTTCACAAAGAGGAGGCAGCATGAGGCTTCATCACTCCTACAGAATTTTACCTCTCATCTATATTCACTAAAGGAGAGGCTAGACTGTAAATTCACTGTTGGCTGTCAGTTGGTGGGCAGGGTTGGGGGACTTGACCCAGGTTCTGGGTGCACCCGGTGCCCCAGCTGGACCAGTTCAGGGTTCAGAACTTACACTTGCAGCCCAGAGGTCAAGTACCCTGGAAGATGGCTTTCCCTGAACCATGACCTTGTGACCCCATGAACTCTGTAGAACAGATATCTCCCTGGCATCTCCTCCTGGGTACCTCCCGAGGCTGGACAAAGCTTGGCTTGTGTGGAAACTCACTCTCCAAATAGATCCCTCCCACCAGGCCCTGAGATATTTCACTCCACAAGACAAACACTCCCTTGAACTGCTGACATCCCAAGGCTGCTGTGTGCCTGGTGTCACGGATGGCCCCAGCCCCCAGGGATGTTGGGGCACCGAGGGCCTGCCTTGGAGGAGGACCGTGGCTGAGTAAGGCTGGCCTGGCCAGGGCACGAAGTGGATTCCATTCTGGGGCTGCTGCGGTCGGAGCTGATGGGCCTCCAATAGCAGCTCAAACTGAGAGTGTCTGGGACCAGCCCAGGCCTGGGCGGTAAGGAAGGTACTCCTGTGTCTTGCCTTTTCTCCCCCTGCCCTGTGAGACCGTTGTCCCTTCCCAGATGCCACCTGCCTGAGTATTCCACCCGTGTGCCCTGGGAGAAGGGACAAGGGAGGAGGGGCAACCAGGGGGCAGGAGAGAGGGAGACCCCTGTGCTAGACCGGGGAGGTCTTCCAGGTACTGACTTCTCCAGTATGTAAAAGTCAACAAGACAGGTATGTGGGCTGGGCTGCAGGAACCCTGGTTAGGACTGGCTAGACCAGCGGTTCTCAACCTGTGGGTCGCGACCCCTTTGGCGTCGAACGACCCTTTCACCGGGGTCGCCTAAGACCATCCTGCATATCAGATATGCATTACGATTCATAACAGTAGCAACATTACAGTTATGAAGTAGCAACGAAAATAATTTTATGGTTGGGTCACAACATGAGGAACTGTATTTAAAGGGCCAGAAGGTTGAGAACCACTGGGCTAGACTCACCCAGGACCTCCCACCTAACTGCATTGACTTGTGACAGGTTTTCAGGAAAGGGTGACAGACACAGAGCAGGGCGGTTGCCTCCTGTCAGCTCCTTTTGGGTCAAGCAGGACTCAGTTGCGCCCAGGACCCAGCCAGGGTGTGTGGTCTGAGGGCAACGTTATTTCTTTCCTGACAAACGTGACTGTAGATCAGGGCCCTCCTCCAGGGTCGGGGCCTGGCACTCTGTGGAGCAGGACGTAGATGGGTTCCATTCTGACAAAGCCTTGAGACTTAGGCAGAGAATGGACGGACCCATTCTACAGATGAGAAAACTAAGGTGCACAGAGGCAGAGGGCCAGGTACCGAGGATGCCTGGTCACAGTCCTTATTCTGCTCCCAGGGGGCTGGGAGCCCTGGCCCACGCTATAGGACCTTCCACCCAGCTGGGCCAGACACTCCCGCTGGCCTCCAGTCCCCTATCCTTGCCAGTGGGGACCTGACCTAGGCAGGCTCCTTCATGACTCTGTCCCCACGTGCCGTCCATCAAAAACACCCGATATCCCTTTTCTCCATCTGCACTGCTCCCTCCACCCTGAAGCCACCCCATGGACCTCTGGGAAATCAGTTGTCATTCCGAGTGCCTTCCTGGGTCATGTCAGCACACTCCAGGTGGCAAGGGTACTTGGTCGCAGTCCTCCACCCCTCCCCACAGGAACCATTCTGTCCTCCAGGATGCCAGCTGCCCCTCACATTCCAGCTACAGGAAACCCCCATCTAAGACGGCCCCCTGGACACTGTCAGGTCACCATCTTATTTACTGTGAAGCACCTTCACAGCTGTCCGGCTGTCAGGAGATGGGTTTCTGTCCTGCGGTCCTCCTGCTGCGGATGCCAGCAGCCCTGCGTGTGGGGGACCTTCCACGATGACCTGTGGGAGGGAGGGGGCAAGGAAGAGGGGTGTGGGCTCTTGCCTTGATGCCCTCAAACCCCAGCCTCTGCAACCTCATGAAGGGGGTTCCTCAGTTGGCACCCCGAGAGTCTGGGCAGGGTGAGAGCAGAATTCCTGCTGGGAAGACCCCCAACCCTGCAAATATCTGGCCTGGGGAATTGCCCAGGAAGGAACTGGCTGGTCAGGCCAACCACACACAATGCCCAGAGGAGGAGCCATTGGAACACCCCCAGGCCAGGCCACAAACCCCAGCGGCCAGTCAGAACTTACCACGTGCGCCCGTCCGCCCGCCAAGAATGCCTGGCTCCTCCGCTTGGTTTTGGGCTGCCTCCCCTGCTTGAGCCTCCGAGGACTGACCCGGGGAATCTGCGTGAGGTCCCGGTGCTGTTTACTCTCCAAGGCGGTACTGGGAATGCCGACCCTTGAGTCCCAGGGAGGAGGGGAGGGAGGACGCGGGCACAAGGAGGCTTCTCTGCCTCCAGGCCGGGTCGTGACATTTCATAACACTCTGTTTTCCTCACCCTCTGATCCAATTCTGGGCTGCGGGACACAGCCTCCCAGCAGCAAGACCTGCCCCTTGGCGCCCAGATGATCCTGTTACAGCCCGGGCTCCAGCCTCTGTTTGGCATGGTTTTTCTAAGTAAATAATTGGGAAATAAATGTGATTTCTCTGGTTTGTTCGATGCCCACATGTCTGTTGCAGCAGCTGCTTTTGTTTGTAAAATGCAAACCAATATTCAACTCAGAGACATGTGATCGCCTTGGGGCCACTTAAGCTTTCTGAGGCCAAGTGCCCCTGGTGCCCCCCGGTAAATGCCCCAGTCAGAGGTCCCTCAGCCCCACTCCCACCATGGGCAAGAGTTGGTTAGTGGGCAATTAAGAAGAGGTGTACGGGGGCAGGAGGGGGGTGGAAGGGAAGCCACTTACATAGTGGCTGTCACCTGGGGTGGGAGTGTGGGGGACAGATTTGGGGAGGGATGCAGGATGAGCAGAGCCAACATGTGTCTTGGGGGTTAGGATGAATTATACCTTCACCAGGTCCCAAGCCTGCGGGCACCAGTCCCCTCACTTCCAGAGAACGGGGTGTCCTGGGGGAGAAGTCGGTGCCGACTCAGCGCTTTGCTCACCTCGATCCTTTATGTGAAGGACTGGGCTCCGGGGGCTGCAGAGGTCAGAATGGACTGTCCCTTTCCTGTGCTGAGACCTCCTCCTCTCACACACCCCTTGTCATTCGCGTGGGAACCAGAGGAAGGCAGGTCCAACACCACTTCCTGATTCTTCAACACCAGCTGAGTGTCCGGCAATCCCACTCTGACACCAACTTCCCCAAGGATCAGTGCCCACCCCACAGGTTAGGGGCTCAGCCTAGAAAGCTGTCCCCACAGCTGAGGCCACCTGCATGGAGTGCCCAGGGCATCCACGCTCCGCTGGCCGAGCTCCCATGCCCTCCTTGGCTGCCCCACCTCCCAGCAACCAAACCCATCCTCCTTGAGCCTCATCCCCCAATTGTTTTCATCTGCAAGTCAATCCTTGGCAACTGATGATCAGAGGCCTCCAGAAGATCAGAGGCCGGGGGTCACAAGGTGGGTTCCCTGCCTGGAGTCCCCTCTTTAGCACAAAAGATGTTCCAGGGGCTTGAGACAAAGTATCAGGCCATGGGACAAAGACCAGACATGCTGATGACACCACAGCCATGTCCCTCGGCTTACTCAGAGCCATAACTCCTGTCAGCAATGCATTGTAGTTCTCATTGTGCAAGCCTCACACTCCTTTTGTCCAGTCTATCCTTCAGTGTTTAATATTTTTGCTGGCGGGTCCTCCCAGCAACACACTGTCTGTGATGCACCCAATGGTCGGACCTTTATTAACATTGCTGGGTGGGCAGGTGTTTGCGAACGTCACACCAGCCTTGGACGTGATGAGAGAGGCCCCCAGGTTCCACGCTGGAAGTTGGGAGGACAGCCTGGGCCCTGCCCAGGGCGTGTCTGGCCCTCGGGCTTCTGGCGTCCTAGGCGAGGCTGCGTGGGGGTTCTTAGGAAGGGCAGGAGGAGCACTCCGTGCTGACAGTCCAGAATTATGGGGGAGGGAAGGAGGAAGGGAGCCAGGAAAGCACACATCATCCCAGCCCCCGGGTCTCCCATCAGCCCTCCCCAAGCAGAGGGCATGTGGAGTGCTGATGCCTGAGAGGCAGTCTGCGAGGGAAGGAGAGGAACTGGGATCGCCCCCAAGGTGACAGAGGTGATAGCTAAAGCGGCCAGGCCTCTGCGTTTCCCACACTCTCACTGCCTGCTCATCTGCTTGACTGTGTCCAGGGACCTGCCCGTGTCGGCCAAAGCCATCCTCTACGGGCTCCTGCAGGTGGAAGTTGAGAATCAGACATGGTCCCCAGGGGCCCAGCCCGTAGTGCAGCACAGAATGTCCTCTGGCCACACGTGCTGGTGCACGGGCCAGGAAAAACGCCTGGCCCCTTCAGCAAGCCCTTTCGGAGTCCTGGCCTCTGGTCCCTCCCGCCCTTCTCCCACCCCCAAGTCAGCAACTCCTTGAATCTGTCCAAGCCCTTACTCATGCTGGATGCCATCATATTAGGTGAATATATAAGCCCTTCAGACACTGAGCTCCCTGCTTCTGAGGAGCCATCTGCTGGACACTTGTAGGGGAAGCAGGGATAAAATTACTGCCACGGCCGCCAGCCCAGCTACCCAGGGCAGCGGCAGCCCCAGTCCTCTCCGGCTGGGGTTCTGGGATGGCTGGGTCCCCGTGTGGCTGCACCCCTGTCGGGCCCAGGAAGGAGCCCACACTTAAGTCCAGGTGGGTGCTCCTGGCTCACCGGCCACAGCTCTACAAGCAGTCCTGCCTCCGCTCGCCCAGAGCTGAGGAGTGGAAGTTGTCCGTGGCACTAAGCGACAGGGTTTTGCACGTACCTTCCTCCAAGCACAGAACCCTGGCCCTCGTTTCTAGGGCCTTGTCCAGTCAGCGGTTTACATCGGCACAGACTCGTGCCCGTGTGTGTGTTACTCTCCGGTTAGAATCCCGAGCCACCTTCTCGCATTTTGCTGATCACGCGGCCCCTCTGTGGCCACTGGCAGCGCCTTCAGGCTGTGCCCAGTGTCCTTTGAGAGCTCCTAACCTTCCTAGTTCATTAAATTTGGAAGCATTTCCAGGCTGTCTGGCCCCACAGGATGCTCCAGGCTCATCTTGTACCTCCCCTGCCCCGGTGGAGTGATGAGTCCACCACTTCCCCAAGAACCTGGAACCCGTTCAAAACCGAAAGACAAAGAGGAGATCAAAAGCAGAAGAGAAAATGCCAAAAGAACACGCTAGATGGAAAACCGATAGGGTAGTTAGAGCCAAGGGCGCACCTCTCTCCTGAGGAGCTTCTGGGAGCCCACCAGGCCAGGGGCCCCTGCAGCTGCTGGGCCAGGTGGGGTAGACCTTGCATGCCTGGGGGCCTGAGGCAGGGCCACACCGAGGCCTGTGGGGGAGGTTTTAGGCACTGCAGCTGAAGGTGGGAGGAAGAGGTGGTCACATTTCTTAATCACAGACACCAGCGAGCCCAGCTGTGGACGGTTCTCAAGGTCTCCCTGTGAGGTGCAAGCTGGAGGGGCCCGGATAGGCCCTGGCTGCTAGCTCTGCGTTTTGTCTCCATGGCAACCATTCTGCTGGTCCTGGACTGGTTAGAGTTTCCCTCCCTTTCTCTCCCTCCCTCCCCACTCGCCTTGCTTCTTCAGTGCCTCCTTGGTTAACACCGCCCCTTCCCCATCTCACACACTTCACAACCTTTTATAGTCATAACTGGAACCAGGAGGTGCTAACTTGCGGGAAGTTGCAGTGCCTCTGAGGCTGTGGCTCCTGCTCAGCCCCTGAGGTGGTTTTTTTTTGGGGGGGGGTATGGGTGAGACCAGCCATGGCAGGCACATCCTGGGGTGTCTGAGCCTGCTTGCTGGCCCCATCCTCACCACGTGCTTCAGATCCACTACTGGCTATTGCTCACAGCGGCGTCTGCCTTTCCTTCCATTCTCTCCTGCTCAACACCTGGCGCCTTTATGACTGGGGCTAATTCCTTTCACAACGAATCACGTTTAACATTTACAAGCTCTTCAGACTATGATCCAGCTGGTCCTCGTGTAAAACTTTGCAGTAAGTATTGTCATTAGGTCTATTTTGCAGATGACAGCCTGGAGCACAGAGAGGTCATTACAGTGGCCCAGGACACACAGCACATAAGAAAGTCAGTAAGTACCTGATCACTGTCTCCCTGTGGAGGATAGGACTTGTGCTTATACCCATTTTACAGCTAAGGAAACTGAGGCAGCCTCAGGCCTCACACCCAGAGTCTATGGAGACACTAGCCCAGCATCCCTGAGGCCTGTCTCCTGAACCCTATTCTGAGAGATCACACACACACCGTTCTGGGAGGTCATCCCTCATGGGCATCACAGGCCTGGGGCTCAGCTATACTGGGAGCTCAATTTCCGAGGAGAATAGGGATGAACCAGGTGAAGGCTATTGGAAGGGGTGCTGGGCTGTGGGGACCTCTGAGCTAAGACTCGGAGGCAGGAGAGCACTTTGTGTTTCCTGGAATATAAAGTTTGAGGCAGAAGGCATGGAAGACCAACTCACAGTGGTGGCCTGTAGGATGATGACAGCTCTCACCCCAAGACCTCCATGTCCGAATCACCAGGACCTACAGGTATGTCACCTCACTGCTAAAAAGGACTTTGCAGATGGGATTAAGTAGTGATGTGGAGATTGTCCTAGATCGTCCTGGTGGGCCCACTGTGAACACAGGGGCCCTTGTAAAATAGAGATAGGAGGGGGAGATGCAGAGAGAGGTTGGAAGGTGCTGTGCTGCTGGATTTGAGGACGAAGGATGGGGCCGTGAGCCAAGGAATGCAGGTGCCTCTCTATGCTGGGAAAGGTAAGGCACAAGCTCTCTCGTGGGGCCTCCAGAAGGAACCAGCCCCGCAGCACTCTGACTAGAACCCGTTGAGACCCAGGTCTGACCTCCAAACTCCAGAATTGAAAGATGATAAAGCAGTAATGTCTTAATCTGCTGGGTCTGTGGTCATTTGTTACAGCAGCCACGGGACACGCACACATTCCCTATTGAAGTACAGTCATCTCAGTCACCCCAGTTGATGAGAGGAGGTTGGGTGATTCTAGAATTGGGAGCAGAGGACCTCCAAATGTGCTGACTCGGAAACCACAACCTGTGCTGCAGGGTGGCCCTGATGTGGACTGGATTTCAGCTGTGACCTTGAGTTGTACCCGGCACACACACCCCCCTCCGTGCTCACTGGGCCACTGCTCGGGAGTTAGCAGGGGGTCCTGGAGCCCAGGAGCCCTGGGTGGCTCTTTCTGCTTAGAAACCAGGCACAGATTTCTGGACTGTTCCCTGACGAACTTGCATTTATTTGCTTCTTTAGTTGTGTCTGTCTCTTCTAAATCTGAACTTTGAAAAGACCGCTGACTTGATGAAAACCTAATGTGTGTGAATGGTGTTTCTGCCCAGTGCTAAGGACGCCTGCATTCTTTCACCAGTTCAGTGCTACACAACTCTTCTGGATGTTAAGACAATAGTCAATTGTGTGTGTTTTTTA